CCCCCCCTAAAGCACAAAAACACCCCCCCGAAGCTCATTTCAAGTCCACGTCATTTCCCAAACAGGAAAGAAAACCTTGCAACCCAGGTAAGCGCAGCCTCTGGCTGCGAATTACGATGTCTTGGCCAGTACCCGAACTTTTCGGGGTGGGACACAGGGTCGGCAATATCCCATAAATCTGAATTTTATAGCGGTCACATTCTGAATGTTACTATTTTCTTTTTTTTTTTGGTCGTGTGTTTCTTATGGGTCCCCTGTCCGTGAATTGCTCAAGCTGTCCGTGAGTTGCTCAAGCTGTGTTTTGTCAGAGGATTGTAAGGTTTATCACACTGGCACTTAGGGGAATGTATCCAACCATTTTCACGGCGGATCCATTTGTCAATTTTCCCCCCCTTTTATTCTCTTTTTGGAATCTGACAACCTGACCACAGGGCTGAGATGCCCTCATTGAGGGCACACTCACACTACCACTTCCAAGAATGTATACAACTGCAATCACGGCCAAAGATTTTTTTTATTCTTTTCCGAGGTTCACGGCTGCAAACAAAGTGGTATCCAGGCTCGGCAAAACTCGGAGCGCAGTGAAATTCAGGGTCGGCAAGAACAGGCTCGGAGGTACTGGTGGTCTTACACGGTAAGATTCGTTCTTTCCAAATGGAGGAATACGAGGTCGGGGACCTCATAATTCAACCCGGAGTTATCCCTGCAGCATCAATCGGTTTAGCTTATCTCAATCAACTTGCCACAAGTCTACTTAATGCATTCATTGTAGCGAGCAAAAACCAGAATTTTCCTTCAAACCAAATGCCTGATCAAGTCTAAGAGTCTCCTTGCTATCATGTCCTATTCTACTTGCCTACTTAAGCCTATCTTTACCTATACACAAACCTACAACCGGTCTGGTACCCGACCCAAAGCAGCCAGGAGGAGCCTTGTTCCATTCCCAACCCCTGACACTCACCTTCCCCATAGGAACCGAGTGCACCTGGTTCATGATATCCTTCCTAGCCTACTGTTTCTCAACCCATCTCCCCAGTACCAATTTCCCTTCTGGAGACACATGGGCCAAACCCAGGCCCCAGGTCCGTTGGAACCATGTCTCACCCCTCTTGTGGTCCGATTGCGACGTCCTTCTCATCCAATCTACTCTGGTAGTTGTGGCAAGAAGACTTTTAAAAAGTTTTCTGCCTGTTTCTTTGGCAACCTCTCCCCCTGGAATCTGAGGTTGTTCCTGTCAGCCCAGATGACCCAAAACATAATTGCCCTGCCCACCTGGGCTACATAACCCCACCCTCCGTGCTACTGCACCTCTGAGGTAGGCACCCTGCAAGAACCCACCTCTGCCCTGTCAGATTCATCCTTCCTGCAAACCTTTTCCAACGATAGTCTCACCACCTCCACCATTTTCGTGACCTTGGGCACTCCCACCAGAGGTGTTGCATCGTCTCTGGTGCCTCTTTACATCTGTCGCATGTTACCTCTACGTCCATCCCTTTGTCTGCCAGCCACTGAGAGGTAGGTACCGCCAGATGTGACTGTAGCCACAGTAAGGATGCTAACTTTTGTGACAGAATGGCTTAAAGTTGTGTCCAGAGCTTGGTAAACTCAGATTGCGAAGGTGGACCCAAATTGGGGACTTGTCTTGCCCACCGACTACTAACCTTCTCGCAGACTGATGTTAAGTCTGATTTCCTTTGGAGAATCAGGATGGCATCTAGATGTTCTAGTCCCTTAACCACCGAGTCCCCTATCTGCCAGCCCCAGGCTTCAGAGTCAATTTTCAATTCCTCCAACCCAATCCCATTTCCTACCAACACAGGAATTGGTGGGAAACCCTCCTCCTCCTTCGGAGGTCTCAATCTAACCCTAATCTCTTTCAACCCCGCCCGCCCGTACTGAGTCCGCATCCCAACTCTTTCCAGCGTAGGGAGATTTGAAAGCGCCCGTTTGTATGTTTCAAGCCAACACTTACCAGACTGGTCTTCTATCCAACTCTCCAATCTGCAAAACCGATCCAGCTCGTCAGAGTCAGAGACAAACCAAGTACCTGGTGGGTCAATCCCTCCTGGTCCCAGCAGCTGCTCCCATTCTTCTGGAATGGCTTGTAAGAGTTGTGCCAGTCGCTGCTCCTGATTAGGCAACTGCCCCAAGGATTCCCTCACTTGTGCAGGAGATTTCCACATGTTATTATTATCAGCCCACAAATCCCCAATCGTGCCGATGCCCTTCTGTATCCAGCTCTGTCCAAAGTTACCAGGTCTCCTCTCCAATGAGAACCAAGTTCCTTCCGGGCCCCTAATTCGGTTATTCTCAAAGAGATGTTGGCGCTTGATTTCCATTTTGGACTTTGGGGCAATGCACAACGTAGGTCTGCATTTTCGTCATGCTTGCAGGATATCGCTCCAAAGACGGGACTTTGGTCGCCTCCTGGCATATGTATCCGTCATCAAGGCGACCCAGACATCCACTGGTCGGGAAAAGCGCCATTCCTTTGCCAACAGGGTTTCCGCCAGCACGGCCCAATCCGTATTCGCTTCCACTTCTGCCACCCTCACCACCCATTTGGCTAATAGTGCCGTGTTCTGTGCCGCTGGGTCAATCAGGGCCAATCCCCCCTCGTTGCCTGATCTGCACAGCGTATCCCACGCCACTTTACTTATATACCCATTCTCCGCGTTCCCATCTGGTTTCCCAATGAATCTTCGAGCAGTCCCTTTGATCACCTTGAGGATTGGGGTTGAAAATCTCCGGACTGTTGCCACATACCAAAGCAGGGCAAACGCAGATGCCATGATAGCTAGCACCCTCCCCACAAGCGACAGGTGAAAGGCAGGCCCCCAACTTTTTATTCTCTTACAGACTTTTTCTTGAAGGATCAGCTTTTGTGACGCCAAGCAGTTCCCCAGGGCTATTTGAACACCAAGGATCCGTTCCGCTTGGTCCACCTGTACTCTCTCCATCCCCCACTGAACTGCTAGTGTAAGAGGTTTTGGCAGAAAGAAAGTTGACTTTCTCTAGTTCACTGCAGCTTCAGATAGATTTGCAAAGTCTGATAGGCAACCCTTCAATGCCTCCAATAAGTGCACCTGGTTTACATATAGGACGAACAAATCTTCCGCCAATGCTTTGAC